TTTTAGGAAGAGGCTCTCTGGTTTTATCATTCTGAAATAATTAGACTATTTGGAGTTCTGAGGGGTGCCAAGCTAATGTAGAGGTACCCAAGATTAAACATTAAATGGCTGGAAATGAGCAGCCGTGGGCTCTTTAACAAAGCACTGATGTTCCTGCTGCTGTATACTATAAGCCACATTCATTCACACTGGCCCATCCAGTCCCAGTTACTGTTTCTTTGGGATGCTGCCAGCAGTTTTCAGAAGAAGTTAAATACTGACAGTAATAAAAATATTTTCGCTCTCTTTGACAGTGAAGCTCCTGGTTTAATAACAGTGAAGTTGAATACACTCCATAGGGCTGCTAATGAACGCAGTGATGCATTCAGCTGGTGCCTCACACAAGCACATCACACTTGGTTCCCTCTGCTCACACCTCCTGTCTCTCCATCCCTCACTGCTCACTCGTACTGTATTTATTTGAGATGAAATAAGCTCTGTTCTATCATCTCTACATGCTTTAAGTATACACTTCTCTCCCCCTTCACTACAAGAGAGGTTTATGTCCTCTAGCCCCTGTTCTCAGCTTTAAAACCACATGAAAACCAAAGAAAAATGGAAAGAAATGGGCCACTACCATTAACTGTAAGAGCCTGGTTTGTGTGAGTGGATACTCACTGGTTGAGGAAGGCAAACAGGTAGCGCATCACCACCAGCGTCCCCCTCGGGACGCCCAGCAGGATCTTACGGATGCACTGTGCTCTCTCGTACAGGTTCTCGATTCCTGCAGCGAGAAACACATGAGAACGGCCATCGTCAGCTTTCTGCAACACACACAACACGACCTGAAAAACACCAGCCAGCGCCACAGAATCAGAAGCAGCTGGCTCCGTGTCTCTGCTGAGGAGGAGCCGAGTTTCAGCAAGAAAAAGAGACACTGAAGAGGAACAAAGACAGAGAGACAGAGGGAAAGTGAGTATGTGTGGGCTGAGATTCCGTCTGTGCTTCGTGGCAGCAGCTCATGTGCAGATGGAAGCAGCACAAACGTTCCAGGTCACAGTAAGACTTGAGTGTTATGGTGAGGGATAGCAAGTTTTAGCCTCATTTCTACATTTATCTGCTGCAGAAATTGTCAGCATAGAGTATTACAGACAGTCAAACAATTTCTCTGTAGCGTTGGCAACTGTGCAGATGGTTGTGGTCAGACGTGCGCTCTGCTGCAGCCTGATCAATACCAGTACATCACATCACATATAATGTACGGAGCCAGAGATTTCTTACTACAACATGGCAGGTGAGTGTGAGTGTGTTCCAGGAGATTATTTCTCTCATGTGTTTGCTGATTAGGGTAAAACATCATGACTTTCAAAGATGCAAAGGCACCTGGACTGTAACTGATTGACAACTTCCTATAATCTTGTGCATGTCTGTCCATTAATGTGAATGCGTGCATTTCATACTTGTGCAATGTTGAAAGACATGTTAATGTTACCAGGTCCGACCTAGACAGACTGCTGTCGAGTGCTCATTCAGACATGAAGCCCACACGTTCAGATGCCGTCAGATTAATGGACAGGAGTGCGTGTTTGGAAGAAGCCTCAGAGTTAAGGAGCTCAGAGCAGAGCTGCTGCACCTTTGCACGGACACCAACCTGTAAAAGTAGAAGCGGATCGTTGCATAGGGCCTATAAACAAACAGCGGTACTCACGGACGCAGGAGATGAGGTCATTAAACCTTTCCTTAGGAAACAGCGGATTCTCCAGCCCCCTGAAGTAAAGCTTCAACACTCCAGCCACTGAGTTGATGTCGTGGTTGCTCTCCTCGTCGATCAGCGGGTCGTTACCTGGGCGAGAGACAGAACGAGTCAGCCACATCCTTACACACCGGAAGCTGTCAGTCATGTGACTGTCAGGTGCCTTCTCACCTCTCTCGAAGGAGTTCTTGATGTCATTGACCTCCACCTGTGACCCCGACACCCGGAATATGCCCTGATGCTGAAGACCTGTGGGAGCAACAGCATATACTCTGTCATCAGTAACAGCCGAGCTGACCGAAGCCGGGTGTCGAAACTCACCGTGTAGGTTGATAAAGCGGATGCAGCTCTCCACAAGCAAGGGTATGGCTTTGGTTGAATCCTGTAAGCACAGGCATCAAGCACACACATTGGGGTTGGTTACTGTTTAGACTTTTATTCATCCCGATTCTGAGCACAGTTCTTATCAACCTCTGGTTCTGATTCTTGTCATATTATCTGAGTAGGCAAGCAAACATGTTGTAAACAAAAACCTGCCTCATTTTCAGCAGATTCAGATTGACACACACGAACATTTGCCAGAAATAATCACAGGACTTTTCTTTCTCCCAGGTCCCACAGTGATGCCTGACCCAGAGTCCAAAACCCAAAGATATTCAGTTTGCCATCATGAACAACACAGACCAATAAATCCTCCCATTTGAGAAGCTGGAACTAGTAGCTGTTTGCATTTTTGTTTAGAAAAGAGACAGAAATGATTATGACATTATCAAATAATTGATTACTTTTCTGTTGATTGATTAATTACAGATTTCGCCTGTCAGAAGATCAGGCAGTAACTTGTATGTCACCTGGCAGGTCAAATCCAGCACAAAAAAAAAGGGGTCTGGATATCATTCATCACTGCTCTGAGAGCTGGGTACACATTTTTATCAGCTTATCAGAACCTCAACAGCTGGACAGTAGCAAAGCTCTGCTCCGAGAGAGTTAAGTGTGCGACTGTGAAAGAATTATAACAACCTGAAGTCTGACAGAAGTGAAACTCTACCTGGTGCTTGCTATGCGAGTTCTTCCGCCCACGACTACAGAGCAGAAAGAGGAGAGAAGAGAGAGAGGGAGAGAGGAGTGTCTCAGTTTCACCGGGCTCAAACTGAAGCGGTGGGACTGGAAGTAACACTTATTATTAACGTGAAGAAACGACATGCACTGTGATATGAAATGACACCTTACCTGGTCGTCAGCAGTTCAGCTTTATACCCTGGAAGAAAAACACAAGAAATGTGATTCACACTTTTATTATACAATAGAAGAGCAAGGGCAGGAGACAGAGGGTGGTTCTGTTTGCTCACCCTCCGCTAAGGCTTTCTTCAGTATGTCGTGCTTTGCCTGGAGTTTGGAAATGAGATTACTGCCCTCCAGATACTCACGGAATTTCTGAGGATTGAAAATTAATATAGAAGTTCAGTTCACTGTGAACCCTGCTGTGCCACCCAGTCTTAGCTGATCAACAGATGCATATGGAGCGAACCACCAGCCACAAAGCTTAGAAATGCATTTTTACTTTTTGTAATATGACTTCAAATTAGGTTATACAGTAAAAAACTGACAGAAAAATGGGTCTTGTGTATTTTCTGGGATTCATAAGTGAATGGCTGAATAATCAGCGGACTACTTCTTGCACCATCAGTAACTGTCCATATTGCTCTGCTGCTCTCTCACTGTGAAGTAGAAGAGCTCCGTCTCCTGCTGGTTGGCCCGTCTCTTGGCCAGACTCGGTTTGTTCAAGTAGCCGTCCGACACGCTGGACTTGACCGACTCGGAGGATGGGCTGTGGGTGAAGCTCTGGGAGACGTCATAGTCATCCAGCACCGTCATGTCCTGCAGGGTGGTCAGAGTTGCACCCCAGGTCTTCTTCACCTGGAGGGGGGACAGAAAATGGACTCAAAAAGTCACTGATTTTGATGTGAAGGGTCTGCACATACACAGTGGCAAGAAGTCGTCTGTGAACCCTTTGGAATGAGCTGCTTTTCTGCACTAAACAGTCAATAAATGTGATCTGATCTTTATCCAAGTCACAAGTACAAACAGAATATAAAAAGTTGGGATGTATGTAAAATCAAAATTAAAACTGAAAATGGTGGGCAGCACGGTGGCACAGTGGTTAGCGCCGTTGCCTCACAGCGAGAAGGTTCCGGGTTCGGGCCCCACCTGGGACCTTTCTGTGTGGAGTTTGCATGTTCTCCCCGTGCTTGCGTGGGTTCTCTCCGGGTACTCCGGCTTCCTCCCACTGACCAAAGACATGCAACTTAGGTTGATTGGTGTCTCTAAATTGCCCATAGGAGTGCATGTGCGCGTGTGTGGTTGTACGTCTATGTGTTAGCCCTGCGATGGATTGGCGACCTGAACAGGGTGTACCCCGCCTTCGCCGGGATTGGCTCCGGCCCCACCCGTGACCCCGTTCAGGGACTAAGCGGTAGAAAGTGAATGAAAAATAGTGATGTGTAAATCATGAGTGTCCTGTGTTACACTGAAAACAACACAGCAGCAAATTTTGATGTGATCAACTTTATTCTTTGTTCAAAATAAACACTCACTTCAATCCTGATGCTGCAACATGATCCAAAAAAAATTGGGACTGTCGCATTTCAAGGCCAGTAAATGATGATTCCACTTGAAGCAGGTGATGTCAACAGGTGAGTGCATCAGGACATGCATCAACAGCGGCATCCAGGAAAGACCGAGGACCACCAGTTTGACAACACGTGTGAGAAAATGATTGAGAAGTTTAAAAACAATGTTCCCCAAAGAAAGATAGGAAGGGATTTGGATCTGTCACCCTCTACGGTGCAGAACATCATTAAAAGATTCAAGGAATTTGGAGGGATTTCAGTGTGTAAAGGCCGAGGGCCGAGTGTTACGATCGCTCGACACACAGATGAGCGAGCGGAATAATTAACGGACCCAAATGGCTGACTTCGGTGTAAGCAGTGGGGTTTATTTACAGTGCAAACAGTGATAATATATAGACAGGTAATGAGGAGAAGTGAGAGGACCGGGTGTCGATCAGCGGTAACAGGAAAACAGTCAATGAAGAGATGACGGGCCGGGCTGCGGAGGTTGGATTTGCTCCTGGGCTGGTCGGGGTGGAGTTGATGATGGCTGAGAGTAGAGAACAACAGATAAACAGATTAATGGAGACTGTGCATCGACCTGTAAGGTGGTGGCTGGTGGAGTTGAGGTAACCCAGGGTCCAGAGTAGCGGTCCGAGGAGGAGGAGAACCAGTGTGACCTGGATAGAGACTAGTGCTAACACGGAAGAAAAAAGCGAAACAAAGGCAGCGGACGTACTTGGCACAAAGAAACAAATGAGCATCGTAACGGGGCCTAAAGAACTGGCAGGGGAGTGAACAGTGAGCCGTGTATAAATATGGAGGGAGACTAACGAGGCGCAGCTGGTGAGTATCAGTGAATCGGGGCAGGTGTGTCTAATCAAGTAACCAGTGCAAGGGAGCTGACTAGTGCGAGGAAAAGAAGAGAGGAAAGGTGCCACCGGGCAAACCTGACACCGAGCCTCAGCTGGATGACCGAGCTCTCCGATCCCTCAGACGGCACCGCATCAAGAATGGTCACTGTTCTTCCAGCGATATAACCACATGGGCTCAGGATGACGTTGGCTCACCTGTGTCAGCCACTACAATACGTAGTTACATCCAGAAGTGCTGCTTAAACTTGTGCTGTGCCAAAGGAAGCCCTGTGTCAGCAGTGTCCAGAAGTCGACTGCTCTGGGCTCAGAGGCGTCTGGGATGGACCATCACACAGTGGAAACGTGCACTCTGGTCAGACCAATCAGTGTTTCAGGTCTTTATGGAAGGAATGGAGGCCGTGTGGCCATGTGCTCTGGACCAAAGACAAAAAGGACCATCCAGACTGTTAGCAGCAACCAGTCCAAAAGCCAGGGTCTGTCATGGTCTGGGGTTGTGTCAGTGCCCAGGGCAAAGGTCACTCACACTTCTGTTATGGGTCCATTAATGCTGAACAACACAGAGAGATGTTGGAGCAACATGTGATGCCTTCAAGATGACATCTGTCCCAGAGACGCCCATGTACAGTATATGTCAACAAGACAATGCAAACTTCATACTGCACATCACCAAGGCCTGGCTGTGGAGGGAAAGGGGCCGAGTGGTGGACTGGCCTGTCTGTAGTCCCCACCCGTCCCCAGTAGAGAATGCGTGTGTGTGTGTGTTTGAAACAAAGAGTGAGTCACCAATGACCCAGGACTGTTGTGCACCTTAAAACTTGTTTGCAGGAAGAATGGGACAAAAGACACCTAACTGTAAAGGCGGAAAGACTTTTATCCTGCTCTGAGACCAGTGGGCCTGAAGCTGCATGTGAAACAACAGTGAACTTTGCTGATGGCTTTGCAGGCTCAACACCTAAATCATTTTCACTTCACGGATCACAGGTTATGAATCTGTAATTGTCTTAGGGTGGAATTCCTTTTTCCTGAAGTTTTGATGAGGTGTGTGCACTCAAGCACAGCGGCTCTGTTTGTGTATACTACCTATGCAAAGTGTGTTTGTATTTACAGCAAGGTTAATGGGTGTAGAAGTGTTTCTGTTTGTATATGATAATCAGAGTGTGTTTGCGACTAAGTGTGCATCTCAGTAAGCTGCTGAGACGTGCAGATGCAGCTCATTAATCCAGACTCCTTCAGCATTTTTATGTCCTTCAGGGTAAGTTAACAGCTGCCCTCTGTGCACACAACACTCGAGCCTGCTCCACAACAACAGGGAAGATGTCACACACTGCAGCACCAAGTCGCTTTCAGATGGCACAAGTTTATTTTTAGAGGCTACATCTGCTACATTATCGCCCCATTAAAACTGTATAAATTACCATAACTTTGTGCAAAGTTTGTAACTGCCAGAAAAGCATCGTCATCTGTAACCAGTCAGGTTTTTGGACAGGGTCCATATATTGGTGCGACGACCGCTGGGCAAACTGCCAGGAGGCTTGGTACAGACCTTAGAGGTCGCCCGTGGAAGCATCCAAACGAATCCAAGTCTGAATCAACACCTACACCTCCAGTGCATGTAGGTTTGACAGTGAGCTCGCTGGGAGCTGTTTGCCTGACTGGGAAACAACTGTGCTAAGCAGCACTTTGTAGGCAGGATTAAGAAAAGAGGCATTGTTCTGTGCCTGTGAAAAATAACCACAGCTCTGCCTTGTTCAGTGTGCGATCACTGCATTTCTCCCCCTGTGCTGATGTGTGACAACGTGAAATAATTACCGGTTCCTTCCCTGTTCTTATTATTCATTTTCTGATTTAAACCACCCGGTTTTTCTTTATCTATTCATTTATTTATTTTTCCTTCTTTCTTCCTTATGCATTTTTAATATTCATATATATTTTTTATTTTTTGTCCCTTCCTTTCTCTCCCTTCCTCTGCCCCCCCCCACCCATTCCCAGCCTGTATAGTTAAACATACCTGCACAAACCACACACAAAACCTCCCTACACTCTTCTGTAAATGTCTTGTATCCATTTTGTGTCTTGTTACTGTGCTGTTTTGTTGCAATAAAAAAACAAAAACAAAGCTTCAAGCAGCTGAAAGCTCACGGTGGCGGCCGAGCACCGAGAACGATCCAGAAGTGGTTTGTCTGGTTTAAACTGGTCATTTGAGCACGACAGATGAATCGAGAGGACGACACCAGTGAATGAAGTGACTCTTGCCAAACTAAAAAAAAAGATGGTTTTTGGGAGTGTTTTGAAAAATGAATTTCAAACATACAATAAGGCTAGTGGCAGTTATTTGGAGAAGAGGAGAATAAATGAAGTAAACAGACTTTTGGAGCTCCCTCCTATTTGTCCTCTGCGCAGTGTTTTTGTGATTTTATCCAGATATTCCATGTTTTCATTGATTAATTTATGCCCTCTAATGTCTTAAACCACATCTGTGTTTTTATTTGATGGCAGTGATCTATCAGATAATATCACAATTCCATCTCTCTGTGAAGCACTGTGGTCAACATTTATCATGCCTAACTGTGCTCTAGACTTCTTGTGTGTCTGACCTCTTCGTTCTCTATCTTCAGCGACGCCAGGCGGGTCTGGAGCTGCGTGAGGCGCAGGGTAAGCTCAGCCTGGACCTGCAGCTGGGAGGTGATCTGCGTCACCTGTCGGGACGTGAACAACAACAGGTCAATCAGATGATCACAGACCAGGGAAAACAAAACTTGCATCTGTGCTCGTGTGGATCTGCTACATGCTCCAGATCCTGCTGGTGCTTACGTGTCAGGATAACCAGCATGACTTCTATTACCGGTCTGAACGCTTCAGTGACCCAGAATCCAAAATATAAACTGGTGTCTACTGAAACCGCGGCACTCTATATATCACTGGTTTTCAAAACTTATTGCAATATTCACTTTAATTTAATCTGATGTAAGTCAGTCCCCTTCAAAAAGACGACTCTTCCTCCTCAGTGTGTCTTTTCCAACACATACACGGTGCACAGGAGTCTAAATTCAGAGCTACAAAGTCATATTCAGTTCCTTATTAAGTACACATAACATGGCTCAGCTGTGAACAAAAGGCCAAAACTAATTCACTTGCTGTTGTTTTTCTGCTCTAACTTTTAAAGCCACATTTAACTGGATGATTTTGTGATGAGCAGCTACAGTTTTACACTGAGTAAAATCTTGTCTGTTTGCTACTTGTAGCTGTTGTAGTTTTTTATTGGCTGTGACCGTGTGTTGTTCCTCAACAGTGTGGTGACGCCAAAGGTGACTTTTCACAGTGGGACCAATAAAGGTCCTAACCTAACCATTGTCTCCTGATGAATACTTACACAGTAATGTAATATTTACATACAACTCAAGTGTGTTTATTCATAAATTTTGGTCTGACAACGTCCAAAAAACAGAACGTGGCTCTTGAAATGTCCCAATTTGTTTCTCTTCCCTGTCAGTCATACATCCCTGAATGGAAACTGGTTGATAAGATGTACTGACTGTATCACCCATGTGGGCCTGGAAGCCAAAGCGCTGTGGGGGGCAGAAGGCAGTGGGGTAGAGGCCCAGCAGGCGCTGCCTGTCGCGAGCGGGGTCCAGGCCCTCCACGGCTCCCTCCAGAACCTCCAGACCCGCCCTCCTGGAGGCTTCAAGGCTCAGTTCGGCTGATAGGTAGGTCCTCAGAGCCCGACTCAGACTGGAGTGGTACCCTAGGTCACAACACTGAGACAGACAGGGGCAGATGGAGGAAATGTCATGTTTTCAGTGTTGGAAGGAACAGTTTTTGGAAAACTGAACACAGCAAACAAGGACACTAAGACAATAAGACCAGCTGTAGCTGGTGGTCCCCAGGTCAAGGTCCAGATGCTGTAGCTCCTAAAGCATGGAATATACTACCCACAAACATTAGATCAGCCACGGACCTGGGATCTTTTAAAGCACTACTTAAGTCTTGACTAGACGTTCTTCTCTCCTCACTTTTATCATGTAGTTGTGACCTGTATGCTAATTTGTAGGACTTGTATGTTTGCTTATACATATTTCTGTTGTGAAGATTTTTGTGATGCTTTTGAACTGTATATCTGCTGTAGTATTGTGAAGCACTTTGCTGTGACTTGTGGCTGTTGTAAATGTGCTATACAAATAAAATTTGATTAGATTCCATCAGTCATAACTTGCCCTCATATTCATTTCACTGTTAAACTTGACCCGGTCACTCCTCAACTCCAGATGTCACTATAGTTCAAGACTTTCTACACACCCTCTGCTTTAAGACCCATAAAGTGCACTGACCTCCCTGCTGATGCACAGATCGTGCCACAGATGTGTACTCACGTCTATGAGGTCGGGCAGGTCGTGGATGTAGTATTTAAACACGGAGGCATTGGTGGCCTCCAGCGTCAGCAAATACTCATTCCTGGCTTTAAGAGTCTTCAGTTTGTTCTCCGAGTACTTTGCCTTCCTCTAAAGAAGAATGAAACAGACAGGAAAAGAAGGAAATACTGGTTGTCACTGCCTATATACAGTGCGGCCCGTTCTGGTTTCCATAGGTGCAACCACACTGTTAAAAATAGTGTCAATAACGAAAACCAGATGCGTTGTTTCCCCTTTTAACCTCTATCATGAATAATATTACAGTCAGGGAGAGGCCTTGTCTTTCAGCAATGTACACATTTTAATTATCCACCTGTGTCACTCCCTTTGTCAACTGCTGAAAGTCTGTGCATCAAGGAGAAACTACTTTGATGAGTAGATTAACCTCATTTCTGACATTTCCCTCAGGATCAGTAAAGTATCTCTCTCCGTGTAGCAGCACGCATAGGTGCAAACACAACTTCACGACAGCTAACCATGGTTTGATTAGTGACCCGGTGATTTCCTACCAGTGATTCTGGGTAAAGTTGACCCAGTGTTGTGTGGCTGCTACACTGACCCAGTGATTTTTACGATTCTTAGTTTGTAAGGGGAAACGTGGATATAGTGTAGTTTAGGGAACTTAGCTGTGATCAGCACCTTCTCTCTCATCTTCTCCATCTTGCGGGCGGCGTTGCGTCTCTGGTGGCGCTCCTCTATCCGCAGGCCAAACACAGGCTCCACCCCTCCGCCTGTCCCAGAAACGCCCTTCACGCGACCCTCCTGACGCTCCGCCTCCCGCAGCTTGGTTTCGGCATTGATGGTCTCCGCATGGTACATGTGATATGTCTTCATCACCTAGGTAACAGCAGGCCATAATAACACAGCCTCTGAACAAAGTGGATCACAAAAAACTGGAAAACAACATGAGACTTCAGCCGGTTTATATTCCTCAAGGTTATCGGGTCCACTCTAATCTGATTTCCTGTGTGTAGAAGAGACCGGCGCTCTGACCTAAAGTACAGCGTGACATCTCACAGTCAACAGTCAGCAAACCTCCTCCATCAAGGCTGTTTGCAGACTCAGACATCTAAATGTACAGTAAGGCAGCCAGAGCTTCTGCCCGTCGGCCAATTCTGCATTTAAAACGGACACATCCTGAGCTTTCTGTAACTCTGACTCGTCTTTCCTTGGCCCTGTTGCTGTGTAGCTGCAGTTTCTAATTTATTCTATAAAAGGCAAAAGTACTTTCATGATATTTCAACCTTTAAGCAGATGCGCTGCCAGCCTTCTTTTACAAACATCAGAGTATTCAGCTGGTTTCACAACCTTTTTAAGGTTAAATATAAAAAAAAATTTAAGACAGATTTTTGAACAAATCACGCTGGAAGGTTTTAGTTGGTTTTCCTCTGCAGGTCAGTATCAAAGATAATTACAAACACCTACTGTAAGCGCAGCGAGGAATAGCAGAGGTAAGTGTAGAAGGGAAGGCAAGTTGTACTGAAGTGCAGTTTCCTTTCAGACTTATCAAAAACCTGCAGTCATCCTGCTTTTAGACCAACAAACTCCACCATGTTGTCTCCACTGATGAATGCAGCTCGTTCCACTTACGGTGTAAAGCTCATTCAGAAGCTTCATGAGGTCTTCCTGAAGCTGAAAGATGATCTCCTTACTCTGACAGCGGGACAGAGAGTAAACAGTCACAGATAAGAAATAACATGTATTCAATTAATGTACTTAGAGTATTTCTTTAAACTTCTACAGCATATTTCAGAAGGACAGACAGAGTCCGTCACATTTATCTGACCGTGATGGTTATTTTTCAGATTAACATACAAAACACAATACCCTGTTAAAGATTTACCCAGTGTTTGATGTGTGACCTCTTAACCTGTGTGCCCTGGTCTCCTTGTCAGCTTTCAGACAAGTTATTTGCAGCTCCACCACATTAATACACAGAACAAACACACATCACATTTCCAACCCCCTGTATATGTCTTACATAGCTTCTTTTAAATACAGTGGTGTGAAAAAGTGTTTGCCCCCTTACTGATTTCTTATCTTTTTGCATGTTTGTCACACTGTAATGTTTCAGATCGTCAAACAAATTTATATATTAGTCAAAGATAACACAAGTAAACACATCATGCAGTTTTTAAATGAAGGTTTTTATTATTAAGGGAAAACAAAATCCAAAACTATAGAGCCCTGTGTGAACAAGTGTTTGCCCCCCTGTCAAAACACTGGTTTATCGCACCTGAGTTCAATTTCTCTTGCCACACCTGTTCGCAATCAAGAAATCACTTAAATAGGACCTGCCTGACAAAGTGAAGTAGACCAAAAGATCCTCAAAAGCTAGACATCATGCCGAGATCCAAAGAAATTCAAAAACAAATGAGAAAGAGAATAATGGAGCTCTATCAGTCCGGAAAAGGTTATAAAGCCATTTCTAAAGCTTGGGGACTGCAGCGAACCACAGTGAGAGCCATTATCCACAAATGGCGAAAACATGGAACAGTGGAGAACCTTCCCAGGAGTGGCCAGCCGACCAAAATTACCCCAAGAGCGCAGCGACAACTCATCCAAGAGGTCACAAAAGACCCCACAACAACATCCAAAGAACTGCAGGCCTCACTTGCCTCAGTTAAGCTGAGTGTTCATGACTCCACCATAAGAAAGAGACTGGGCAAAAATGGTTTGCATGGCAGAGTTCCAAGACGAAAACCACTGCTGAGCAAAAAGAACATAAAGGCTCGTCTCAGTTTTGCCAGAAAACATCTTGATGATCCCCAAGACTTTTGGGATAATACTCTGTGGACAGACGAGACAAAAGTTGAACTTTTTGGAAGGTGTGTGTCCCATTATGTGTGGCGTAAAAGTAACACCGCATTTCAGAAAAAGAACATCATACCAACAGTAAAATATGGTGGTGGTAGTGGGATGGTCTGGGGCTGTTTTGCTGCTTCAGGCCCTGGAAGACTTGCTGTGATAAATGGAACCATGAATTCTGCTGTGTACCAAAATATCCTGAAGGAGAATGTCCGGCCATCCGTTTGTGACCTCAAGCTGAAGCGAACTTGGGTTCTGCAGCAGGACAATGATCCAAAGCACACCAGCAAGTCCACTTCTGAAAATGCTTGATTGCAGTTGTTGCTGCTAATGGTGGCCCAACCAGTTATTAGGTTTAGGGGGCAAACACTTGTTCACCCAGGGCTATATAGTTTTGGATTTTGTTTTCCCTTAATAATAAAAACCTTCATTTAAAAACTGCATGATGTGTTTACTTGTGTTATCTTTGACTAATATATAAATTTGTTTGACGATCTGAAACATTACAGTGTGACAAACATGCAAAAAGATAAGAAATCAGTAAGGGGGCAAACACTTTTTCACACCACTGTACATGTTTTGGGTCTCAGGAAGTAAAATAATCCAACATTTCACAAAAAGCAAATATACATATTTACTCGTCATATTTATCCTTGAAGAGGCCTGTCCGTGAGGCTGGAAATCAGAGGACTAAACCAACCAACTGTATCTAAAGCAGTTACATTAGCTCCACTTTGAGCAGCTACATCAGTGAAAGGCTGCAAACACACTGAAGCACCAGAATGAGCAACCTACCAATGTCACGTCGATGATATACAGTCACAGGGGACTTCTAATCTTTTAATACTTCTGTGCTTCTACCTACTTAGGATTTGATTGCAGGGGTTGTTTTATATTAATATAGTTTGTTTGTTTTTTGTTTTATTTACCTGATTTTTTTGGCCACTTGTATTTCAGGAGAACCAAGGTGTGAACACAGCTAACACATTCAGCTGATTATGTCCTCGCCCAGCAGTTACTCATCAGCATCCACTTGAAATCATGTCTGTGTTTAACTGGTGAACCTGGGTCCAGCGCTCCCTCTCTGTTGGCTCTGGGTTTGGTCTCCACCACCACCTGAAGGAAACCTCTGGCTCTGTAGTTGCTAAATGCTCCACTACGATCAGTAGCTGGTCTCTGACTGTGTCTGTCTGCTGTTTGCTGCTGAGCAGGTTGTGGATAGCGGTTTATTAAGACCACGTTCTCTGAAACCGGCTGAGAACAAGGCTCTGGGAGGAGTGACAGCATTGTGGCCCGTACACTAAACAATGAGCTGAAACTCTTCATAAAGCAACTTAAAGTCGAGGGGAGCTGCAGATTCCACTGATAATTCTCTGTAGGTTCGTCACTATGACCTTTTACACACTGTTATTCCTAAAATACTGATTATATCAGCATCAGTAGCCAAACTAAATAAATAAGATTTGACCACACAAATAAATTCATAAATGAAACAGGCTGAGTTCTGCTGCCTGAACTCAGACTGAGTTTCCGTCTCATGCATTAAACAGGCAACCAGTTTGGGGAAGGAGTTATGTGGCAGCAGCGTCGCATGAATATTACATGACGCTAAATGACTGTGGAATCCCAGGATGGATGAATCCTGTTCCCATAGCGCCCGCTGAGAAAAGATCAGCTGAGGCTGTCACCATGGCCACAGGGTTGTCAGTGTTGTCATGGCCACTCAGCCGTCTGTCTCCTGTCCTTCTTCAAAACCGAGTTCCTGAGAGGATGTGACGGAGGTCTCACTGTTTATAGCTGCTGGCAGCTGCTGCACTTTAGTTAGCATGAATAAAAGACGAGCCGGAAGACAGATTAATAATGAACACACCGAGCTAATGCTGGAGGCGCTTAAAAGCGAGCAAGTGTGTGTGCGTTTAATCTGCTACACTCTGAGTCGGCTCAGCAGAACTCAGGGGAAATATGGACTTTACTTTTCATTACAATCAACTTAAAGACACAGTGTGAAAAATAACAAGCCTAGAGGTCTGCACGCACTGAGGACTCTCGGCGATGGAAAGTACATGAGGAAAACACCTGTTTGCTGGGGACTATTTTCAGTGGCGGATTAATCTACATTTGATGCTCTACAAAGTATTTATGGCAGCAGGATGGTGTACGTGAGGTTCGTTGTAATGAAGGAACGATAGCGTGGCTCACTGATGTGTTTGTATCAGCTCACCCTCTTCAGCAGGCGGGCCGAGTCCTCGCTGATGTGTGTGAGACGGGTGATCACGTTGTTCAGATAGAGGTCACTGAGGGTGGCGTGGTCCTTACTCTCCCTCCTCACCTGGAAAATCAAGAGAGTATGGAGGAATAGCTCTGATGGTTTCATTTTTCCTATAAATAAAAGCATCTAAAGTAAACACATGTGACAGACCTGGTTTAGCAGCAGGTACCAGCAGTTCACTGGGGAGAGCAGGTTCTGATCCTTTCTGAAATAGAGAGAGGTCCTTTAACAAAACAAAAACACACCAGTTTATGCCAGTTTCACCGCCTGGGTAAAATCTACTCTTATGTAAAGAAGAGTTTTGCACTTTTCAAAGAATAAATACACGATTATTACTGCCTTACAAAGGCAGAAGCAGTGGCTACAGATACAGTGACTCCATGGGCAGAGCCAGGAGGTGTCCAGGGGTGGCCCTGGCCACCCCCAGAATCTGACTGACTACCGCAGCCAGAGTCTAAATGTGATGCTTGTCAATATTAAACAATGACAAACTGTTGCTGTAAATACAGCAAACATTTTTAACAGTTTTATTTAATATCATGCATGCTGCATGATATTTGCATTCATTTCTGTGATTGTGTTGTTGTGGAGGACTTATCATCCCTGTCCGGGAGTGAATATGAAGCGCAGCCAAAGTTAGCTGAAGAAAGCACTGTGTGCATCTCATTTTTACATGATAAACTATTTGATTCTTTAGAATGTATGATATATTATTTGATAGAAGAAGGGGTTTAATTGACTTTTACATGTACAGTATTTTAAATGTGGCCCACCTGCCTGAGTCTGTGCCCCAGCCTGGCCACCAAGTCCAAATGCTTCTAGATCCACTCCTGACTGTGTCACAGATATTTAAGCTGTAAAACCTTCATTTAATGCCATTTTAGGATGATTAATAATAATTGTCATAGACCTTACATACTGTATAACCTACAGAAACTTTAGGTACAGCACTCCATGTCTGGACAGGCTAAAGGGCACAGGGACAATGCAGACAAACAAAATGGCTTTTTGTTTCTTCTTCAACCTTCTTGTCCATTTCAACTCATAAGCTCATTTAATAAGTCGATCTTTAAATGTAAAGAGTTAAATATTTGATTTAACCAAAATAAGTCATATGAATTCCACAAGTCTACAGAAACCGAGTGTGCAAACAAGGCTGGTTAGCTTTTAGCAGGTCTACTTTATCTGGTGTTATTTTTGTCTCCAGCTAATGTCACACTGATATGGAAGAACACATTCAATTCTTAAGATAGGGAGCATAAAAATTTGATAGGAAACAAATTGTGTAAATTTGCTTTTGCTAAGGCTCCCAGGTAACCTTAACTAGCCTGAGAGAAGTCACTTCAGTTTGGTTTTTACCTCTAATTTCGAAGTTTTGTGAAATTTACTCACCGTCTTTGCCCCAGAATGAGAATCTCCAAAGGTATAATGAGTTTTATTGTAAGACACAAGGCCAAAAAGTGATATTATGGTCATAACTCAGTCTTGACCAGCAATTTTGTTACTGCGCTTTGGTTTGCATTCGTGGATCTTTTAGCAACTTCAAATTAATTCGTATAATACTAAACACTAGGTTGACCTGCAGAAACATAAGTTACTTTTTTATTAAAAATCTGACCATATAGTACACAAATCAAAGTATGAATGATGTGTGCATAGATTTTTTTAGTAAAAATGAATTTTCACTCCAGTATTTTCACCACACAGTCCTACTTGTATTGCTGGTGGTCTTTCGTGCTGCGTGTTTTGGCCATGAACCTCTCGGCGAGCTTCTCGAGATTTCTGGAATATTCCGTTTCAATCTCGGCCTTCTTCCTGAAGAAGTCCTGCAGGTCCTGAAGCAGCTGGACCCGCATCTCTGTCTGCTGCTCCAGACAGCGCTGCTGCTCCACCAACTGGGCCCGCACATCTGCACACAGACAGGTGTCACTGTAAATTCAATAGTCGGGCAATTTGTGTATCTACGGCAGAAACATTACTGAGACAGGTTTGGAGCCAGTACTGCATTTATTGTTCTGTTATCTTTCAATCTCAATGTAAATGGCCTCCATTAATCTTTCATTTTAACTCCACAGAGGTGGCGAGCCCTCTATCTCTGCTCTTTGTATATTACATTGTTGCCATCATGCAGTGAAAATCTACAGGCCCCGTTTCTGCGGTGGCACAAACGCCAATGCTCTGGCTGTTTGGTATTGACCTTGAAATTTGCTTTGCTCATCTCTGTGGTGTTTTGGTGCCAAGCGCAGAGTGAGTCATGTACACTGCGGGAGCAAAGCAAGTTTTTGGTGCACGTCTTAAACTTTGTGCTTACAATCACATCTGTTCCTGACACATCACACCGTCACTTCACTGCCACTTAGGTGATTTTATCAACAACAGCAAACAAAACATTTAAAGCAAAGGTGCAGCAAAACCAGAATAAATGATTTAAGCAGGAACTGTTCCACATTTATCTGACTTATAATGAACAAGACAGGTTCTGACAGGATCTGATGTCTTTGAAGCTTGTGTTTCAGCACAGAAAATCCCTGCAGCACCTGAACGCAGCAGGTATGCTGATAAATCTGCAGCTTCTGATTTGCAGGTACATTTCGCACAACTGTCCACCGTGTTCACCTTCATTCAGTCAGATGCAGATGACAGCAGGCTGCTACAGAGTAACTCCAACACTACACATAGCAGACTGGTCTATTATGACTCAGTATTCTGTCGATTACTCACGATGGGAAATACTGGATTACAGTGGCTCATTAATCACCTTCTCCCTTCCAAATTTCTTTTTTGCAATCATGTTTTATTCTTAATATATATCACAGTGCAAATGCTGTTGTGTCACATTTTACATTATGATGTGAGATAGTGTAGAAATAAAACTGTCAGATTGATCTGGACAAAACAGCTTCACCAACATTTTTTTATTATTAATTTCTATCTAGTCTGTAGCCATGCCAGCAGCTCTGTGAGCCTGCATTCAGACACAGCGGTGCTGATAATGTTCACCATCCTCACCACCTGGGATAAGAATGATGACATTTGCCAAATAAAAGTACAACTGAAGCTGACTAGAGTGTACTTTTGAAGGTACATGGACACAAACCAAAGCGTTTCATTTCATCTGAGCCCAGTTTCATGGCAATTTATCCAACTGCTGTCGAGACATTTCACTCAAAACCTCAAATTTCAACCTCATGGTGGTGATTCATCTTCTGGGGAACATGAATGTCTTTTCATAGCAAGCCACCCCATAGTTGTTGAGATATTTCTGGAAACATGGTGACAGTGAGATGCATGGCTAAAACTCTCACATTTATCAAAGACACATTTGTCAAAACTGTGCATCCTGACATCTCAGAGTGAGGTCTCCAAACTGCTAATAGTCCATTACCCGGAGATTTTCAGTTTACAGTGACAGACAACAGAGAAAATGATCCTCATGTGTGAGACAGCAAATCTTTAGTGTGTTTGACAGGAAATGAATTTATCAAGTAATCAATTAACCAAGAAGAAGAAGCCTATAATTTTTTTCTCAGAGGAGTCACCTTGGACCACATTAAAATACCCACACCCACAAACACCACCCTACAGTCAGCGTGCGGAGCCTGGCTGCACGCTTCACTGGCCGCACTGCTTCAGAGCAGGATCTATCTGCAGCAGCAGGAGAGACGGGAGAGCGGGTACAGAATGCACAATGACAAGCCAACCTCTCACTCTCACAGACAGACACACACCAATCCCGGGGACCCTATCCACTCCACTACCTGTTGTCCTGGCAACCACACACTGTGTGTGAACCATGTGATGAAGATAGCGAAGATGAGAGCTGCGAGCTGCTGCACTGTCACACACACTTGGACTGCTATCTTTGTGAGGACCCTCAGTGCCCCTTAGCCTAACCTCAACTTTAAAACAAAAGCTGCAACAAACATTTAGTTCCATTATTGATTTGCTGTTTTACCTATAAAAAAAAAAACAGCCAAAGTAAAAGGATGTGTTTGTATGTCTTGTCTGACCAACAGTCCCAAATCCAAAGATATCCAGTTTACTGTGATGTTCAACTTGAATAAAGAAGAAAAAAGCGGGATCAAATTTTTTTCATGTTTAAGAAGCTGGATTGTTTGGCATTGCTTAAAAATGGCTCAAAATGATTATTGAATAATCAACATAGCTGCTGGTCACTCATCTTATTGTTGCAGCTCTATAGCCCACTGAAGGTCCATCCCAAAATGTCTTCACAGAGTCAGACATACAAGTACTCAAACACACATTTGTACAAGAATCCCCAACCTAAACCCAAGTCTAACTTTAAACTCCCCATGGCTGCTCATTTTGCTCATTTCCAGCCATTTAATGTTTAATCTTGGGTACTTCTAGATTAACTTGGCACCCCTCATAACTCCAAATAGTCTGTAATTATTTCAGAACAATAAAACCAAAGAGCCTCTTCCTAAAAACAAGAGGACAGTTTGTGAACGTGCACAGCTGTCACAAGTGGACAGCACAACGAACCGCGGCGGCATTAATTAATTAGAATGTCTCCTCTATAGATGGGTAAACAACGGTATATGTGCTGATGAAAAGAGATGTGTAACACTCTAAACAAAGCTGGTAACTGAGAAACCTCATTTTAATTGTCATAATGCAGACAGAGTAACTTCTCCAGCCTTACAACAATTCTAACGTTACAGAAACAAGGCATTAACATACACACAACATGTGTTTATTAAACTCACCGTTAAGTCCCACCAAGTAGTGGAAACATCACTGCCTTCCAAGTAGCTCCAAGGTCGGTAAATCCAACCGGTGGTCGCTGCGTCTTCCCCCACACGACCACATACAGTCCCAATAACATCATGGATAAATCCTCTTGTTAACCAGCAACACATGACATGCAGCAGACACACTGGCCTGAAGCAGTCAGAACAAACAAGGCACTGTGCTCCGGGGTAAACCAGGTTGATCAGCTGATCATTCACCACCCCAGGGGGCTTCACAGACCAGCTGCTTGTAGGTTAGACCCGGTCAGGTGAAACAGTGAGTCCCTGTACAGGAACATTCCCAGACATGCAGTATAATTCTCCACATCCTCTGGTCACAGTGCAGCAGGAGAGAGAATATCTACAAAACCAGTCGAAAGATTCAGCTTTTACAATGTCACCGGTAGATGTCAGGCAAGCTCACATGAACGTGCAACAGCCTGGAGAATATAACCATTCAAGGAAATCTTTAAACTTTTATGCAATATTTTATTTTGTTACAAAAAAAAAGTCTCATCAGCGAGAGTTTGTGGGACGTGTATGAACTGAGTTACTTCTGCATAGAAATACTAGAACATACGTTCACCTGATTTTTTTGAGCTTTAGGTCATGTCTAAGATGATAATTCACCGTTGTCACATTGTAGATAAGTCAGAAAACAAGGAAAAGCACCATGGGACCTTTAAGTAATTTGCATTTTATTTAGCAATTAAATCACTTTCCTGTATGAAATGTCAAAAATCTGTGAAGATGTTTGTGCTCAACATATTTCGCATAAAAAACCTAAAACAAAAGAAAGAAAAAATATGAAACAACTGTTATTTCAATAGAAGTATTTCAAAGATATGGCTTCATAAAACTGTTCTGACTACAACACTAAGTTACGAATAAATCCAACTGACAAAACAAATTCCCACAGACCAAGAGGACATATTCAAATGTCTTCTTTGGTCAAACTAAAGTTCTAAAATATTGTGTTCACTGCCATGTACAAAACAAATCCATCAAATCTTCACAACTAATAAACTAGAACCTGCAAATGTTTGGGGCATTGTTCTTTTAAAATAATGACTTAAAATTATTACTATAATTTCCATTTAATTTTCCATCAATAGACTGATTAATCCACTTATTGTTGCAGCTCTACTTCAGACCAAGTCCTAACCCTCAGGTACCGGCCAAACCACCTCACTTTCCAAAAATGTGTAAGGTCTAAATCTTCACAAAGACAGATACAAAGACACACAGAGACACACACACAGTTTGCCAAACATGCTTAATAAATCTCTGAAGAAAGCTGCCATGGCTGTAGGTCGCCACAAGTCTAAACTCTTTCTCCCTCTATGACTTATTGTGTATTTATACTGTTTTATCGTTCTGCGTTGCTGGTGTACCAATTTAAAATGGCTCCTGTTTCATGTCGCTCTCACACTGAACGTGTTACTAAGCTGCAAGAGTTTCATAAACATCTGCTTTGCTCCTCTGAGTCCCTGGGCAGGGAAATGGTTGTTTCTGATTGGCTGCTTCTCCAAATGAGACATCCCAGGTGTGTCTGAGGTGTCCCAGTGTTCAGTCGATTACTCACTCTTGGTGCTGAGACTGGACTGAAACTGGCTGCAAGTTAAACTCCATCTGGAGCAACATTCTTGTAATTTAAAGTGAATGTTTTCCTTCTACTTTTTAATTAATTCAGCGTGAAATCTGACTTTTAGAAATGTCAAAAATGTTTTTGCTAATTTGACAAATTGAGCCATGCAAACACCAACATCTAAGCCTATTTGGGAGCCAATGTAATGATAGATTAAAAGAAATTAATCCATCAGGAGAGCTTGTTAATGTGCTGCTGTGATATCAGGTACAGGTCGGTAGCACTTTACTCTTCTGAGCCCCGTTTGAGCTTGTATCTGTTTACATTTTGGCAAACTGGCTCATCAGAATTAACTGTGATCATCTCGTGTTTGCTGGGTGCCCAAGGATGTACAGACCACCATCACTGGATCAGTGTGATGCTGAAGAAAATGTTAAAATATGATTATTCTCAGGCAGATTCTGAAGCCTCTTTTTCTCTATGCTTTCTAAGTACGTTTATGGACATTTATTTATGATGAACAGCAGAAATGATGATATCCTCTGGAAGTGCAAGTTACACTGATTA